CTCACTTCCTGCAGGCCTTTCTGCAAGTGAGCATTTTTTTCTTGCTGTTGACAAAAATTCTGGCTGGTTGAGAAATACCCATGCGGCAGCACCTGCCCAGTCTCACGGGTCACATCCTGCCCCTACAAATCTCTGCCGGGAAGGGTGGCTTGTCCCGGGCTGGCCTTTGGGGATGCTGCCAGGGGGGACCCGTTGCCTTGCAGGGCAACCCAGGCACAAGGCCATGAGCAAAGACCCTGTGATGGACCGATGGATGCCACAGGCTCGAGGTGGACCTAACGTTTTATCATCTGCTGGTTGGGCTCTGCATCAGAGGCAGGGAAGTGCTGGAAGTTCGTCAAGGGCTGAATTAAAGTTGCCTGGCAACCTCCATCCCAGCTCCTCTTCCCACATCTCGCAGGATTTCCCACCCAAGGTCTGACGGCTCCAGGGAAGGGGGGCCCGAAACATGGTGCACTCACAGCCAGACAGGGGCCAGGCTTGCTTCTTGCTGGATAGCTCTTTTCCTGTAATTCCTTGCCTCATTCCCACGCCTGGGAGCCTGGAGCAATCCCTGCCTCATTCCCCGGGGCTAACGCTTCCCCCCCACTCCCTAGTCCCGCTCTGGGAACGGGTCAGGCTGTTTCGGCTGAACCCGAGGGCATCTCGTGTGGGTCCCCAGGGTGGTAAAACGGCGCTGGGCTGGTGGGAACGTGGCTGGGGGAGTGAGCAGCGCGGGAGCCCAGCGGGCTGGGAGAGATCATGTGCCAGGCTTGAGTAAAGCTTGAGGAAAGTACCCCATGAGTAAAACTGAATGGGCTGCGCGGGGTTCGGAGTGCCTGGGCCGGGCTGCTGTAACAAAGCAAGGCATAAACAGTGGCTCCTCCTTCGGTCCCTGACGGGAGTTTTAAGTTAAGGCTCTTTTGCAACCCCGTAACCCAGAGGAGACCCACTGGGGGTCCTGGCCCTCACCAGGAAGCCAGCAGCACTTGCTTGTTGGAGTGCATGATGCCAAGGGGGGCACCCAGAGGGGAGAAGGGTCCAGCAGCCATTCTGGGAATCTGCTCG